AGGAGAAGGGATTGCGGCGTGACCATCCCCCCTGGGGGGTGATTTCTTGCTTTCTGTCTCTCTGTCTCTCTCTGTCTGTCTGGCGAGCGCATGCGCCCTATAACGAAAACCTCTCCAAAAAAAAAAAAAAAGAATTATTTTAGGAACCAGCAGTTGGCATAATGGCTATGTCGCTGGACTCCCATGTAGTCGCCTGTGGTTCGAGTCCCAGACCTGGTGGCTTAAACTCACTCTGAGGGCGTATGCATGCGTGCCCAAGATCCTAAGAGGAGAATGGAAGAGAAGGAATTGTGGCGTGGCCATCCCACCTTGGGGGGGTGATATCTCACTTTCTGTCTCTCTGTCTCTGGCTTTCTGGCAAGCACACACCCTGTAGCAAAAACTTCTCAAAAAATTATTTTGTTTAACTATTTATTTATTTTAATTTTACCAGAGAGGGACAGAGTGAGAGAGGAAGAGAGGGAAAGTGAGAAAGCAAGCCACCAGGTCCAGAACTTAAACCATGAATGGCCATGTAGGAGTCCAGCACCCTTAACCATCAGATTGCTGCCGGCCTCGTAGAATTATTTTTTATTTAACTTTATTTATTTGTTTATTTTAATTTGACAGAGAAGGATAGCGCAAGAGAGAGAAAAAGACGTCAAAAAGGAAGCAGCCAGGTCCTGGACTTGAACCGCAGTCAGCCATGTGGGAGTCCAGCACCCTTAACCACCGTGCCACCTGCCAGCCCCACAAATCCATTTTTATTTATTTACTTTTCATTTCTTTAAATCCTTGAGGAGAACATCACGTAGATGGTGTGTCCAGTGACCTTGGCAGGAGGGCTGCTTCAGAGTTTGGCTCAGACCGTGCCATTGTTTCGTGGGCACAGTAACCTTCCCCAGATTCCCCTGGTTTTCTTTGGTATGCTGCCGGAAGTCGAGGTGGTTTTTTGCTTTGTGCATATAACCACACCTCCTGCCTTTCATCTCAGGCATAAACACCTTCAGTTTTAAGAGCAGTGTGCTCCCTGTGGTTCCGGAGACCCCGCTCATAGCCAGCAAAAATGGCCTGGTACCGCAGCCTTCCAGACACAGTTGCCTTTTAGAAGCCCTGTTCCTGGGACCAGCAGATGGCATAGTGGTTACGCTGCTGAACTCCATGTAGTCAACTGCAGTTTGAGTCCCGGACCCGGTGGCTTAAAATCCACGCCAGGCGCATGTGCATGCATGCCCAAAATCCCAAGAGGAGAACGTTAACAGGCATCTCCAAAAAGGTCTTCATGGATGACCCACTGGTCTCAGCAGGCAGAGGTAGCAGGCGTGTGCCTGGTGTGCCGATGGGCGTCCAGTCGCGTCCTCACTGCGTCACAGCCTGGCCCCTGGATGTTTATTGATCTCAGAGCTGAAGCTGTAAATGCAGAGGTTTCTCTGTCATACTTTCCCTTCCCCTCACTCCAGGTTTGTGGGTACTCCCTCAGAGGTCACCACGTTCACCCTCTGTCACCTGCAGTCATGGATTACAGACGTCCATGGGTCACCTACACCCACCCTGTCACTGCCCTCTCATTGTCACCCTCTCATAAAGATGTCTCCGAGAAGGAAACATGGGATCAGGTCTGGGCTTGGGCGCACTCTACCCCTGTTCTGAGAATGGGATGTCACTCCCAGGGGCCCAGAACCAAGTGGGCTCTAACCTCGAGCCCCTGCCTCCCACAGTGAGCAAGTGGAAAAAGCTGTATGCAACCCCTCTCCTGGCCATCCCCACCTGTGTCGGTTTTGGCATTCACCAGGACAAGTATAGGTGAGCCGTTTCACGTTGCCCAGCTCCTGGGCTCCTTCGTCTCGCTGTGTGCCCAGGGCCATCGTCCGGTCTTCCCCTTTCTTCAGTTAGAGCCTGGCTGATACCTAACCATGGACCTTGCAGCCCCCGGGCAACAGTCTGTCGTTGGTAGCCCACACAAGGGGTCTTCCAAGAGTTCATGGAAAGTGTGTATTAGGGATGTCAACATTTTTTGTTCTAAAATAGATTTTGTTTTCCAAGGTTATTCCTCCTCCAAAAGATAGGTTGAACTGAAACAGTTGAAGAAGATGAGAGACTCTGATGTCATGTTTGTTGTCTGAGTTCACGGGATCTCAAAGAGCTCTTGGCAGCACTTGCAAAGTGGTTTCTCTTGGAGCTCACGGTGCGCAGAGCTGAGCCCAAGGCCACCAGGGCTGAGCTAGCGGAAATAGCGCGAGCTGAGCAGGTGCTCCCTTTCTCTTTAAGGGGCTACAGACCACAGTGGCTCATGGCCAAAACAGAACTGCCCAACACACATGTACACGTTACATGCAGAGGTGTGAAACAGCAGAGTCATAATTACATAACAAGTGTACGCATGTGGTACAACTAGTAACACATTGTTTACCCTGTGGTCTTCAGACGGAATAAGGAAGGAAGGGAGGGAGCCAGACTGAACCATCCTGGCTCCATTTTTCCCAAAAGATTTGCAAATGAATTGTACTTTTTCCATGAACTTGCGAAGTCCCCCTTGCATTGCTCCCTTATCCTGTTCGTCTCCCCTCCCCGGGATCCCCTGCTTTCCAGGTTCTTGGTGTTCCCCAGCCTGGGGAGGAGCCTTCAGTCGGTCCTGGATGACAGCCCGAAGCACGTGGTATCAGAGAGGGCCGTGCTGCAGGTGGCCTACCGGCTGGTACGTACCTAAGATGCCCAGCTCTTGCGGGCGGGGGGCCGGGGCATAGCAGCTCCTAGTTTTCAGCTGCCTTCCTGTGGACATACCCAGGCCCAGCTCTCTTGCTGTGGCCTGGAGAGCAGTACATGACTGGCATGAGCACAGAGACATGCAGGCAGCTAGAACAGCTTGGTGAGCCTTGCCGTGGGCAGCCCCTAGGGCTCTAGCCTCACATTCAGGGCCCGGATGGAGCTTTCTACTTAAGGTTGTTTCTAAGTCAAGGCTCACAGGACGCCTGGGGAAGAGCAAGGTGCTAGGATGGAGTAGGAGTGGGGATACCTAAGAACATTCCAGGCCAAGGATACAGCTTGGGCAAAGGCTTGGATGGGGGAGAGGGCCTAAGGCATTTTGTTCATTTATTCATTCACTCTCGCCCTCTCATTAATCTCGATCAGGTACCTGCTGGGTGCGGACACTGTCCAAGGGGTAAGGAGGTGCTGTTAAGTAGTTTCTCAAATTGTGACAAGTGCTCTGAAAACCATACTCCTCCACTATGGAGTATAACAGGACTCACTTCGAATTGCTAGAGAGCTTGTCCCCAGAGAGTGACCCAGCAAGTGAGGCTGGGAGGTGGTCAGGCTGAGTGACTGCAGTGTGGTGGTGGGGGGGTGTAAAAATGAGATTTGTATGGAGAGGTCAGCAGCGACCAGGTCACGCAAGGCCTCCAGCACCAGGCTCAGAAGCTGGGACTCTGTCCTGGGGGTGCTGGGAGCGCTGGGAATATTGAGAGAAGGGTGGGGCCAGTAAGTGGCATGGTGGTTAATGCACTAAACCCCCACATGGCTGACTGTGTTTCAAATCCTGGACCTGGTGGCTTGCTTTTTCTCTTTCTCCATCCACCCCCCCATCCCTCTGTCTGGTGAGTACATGTATCCTATAGCAAATTAAAAATAATAATAAAATTAAATTAATCTTTTTTTTTAAAGAAGGAGCAGGGGCAGCTGTGGGTGCAGAAAGACCCATGGAGGCCACACGGGGTTGGACTGGATGGGAAGAGACAGGAAGCTGAGTGAGGGTCTCTGCAGGAGAAGATGAGGCCTCAGGAGGGTCCTAGGCCCCAGGTATAGAGAGTTGGAAGAAGCAGGACAAGCGAGACTTGGTGACTTAACCTCTCAGGTACATCACAGGATGAAGCCAGCACCTTGGCAGTTCAGTGTGAAAGTCAGGAGCTCAATGGAAGAGTTGGAGCTGGAGATAAAGAAATTGTTCCATTAGAGGCTGGCAGGTGGCATGGTGGTTGAGGGTGCCAGACTTCCACATGGCCAATGTGGCTTGAGTCCCGGACCTGGCAGCTTGCTTTCTCACTTTCCCTCTCTCTCGCTCTCTTACTCTTGCCTTGTCTCTCTCTAGTCAAATTAAAAAATAAAATAAAGTTAAATAAAATAATTATTAAAAAAAATTATTATTGGAGGAACCAGCAGTTAACGTAATGGCTATGTCGCTGGACTCCCACGTAGTCGACCGCAGTTTGCTTCTCGGACCCGGTGGCTTAAAACACGCCGGGCGCGTGTGCGTGCGTGCCCAAGATCCCGAGAGGAGAATGGAGGAGAAGGGATTGCGGCGTGACCATCCCCCCTGGGGGGTGGTTTCTCACTTTCTGTCTCTATGTCTCTGTCTGTCTGGCGAGCGCACGCACCCTATAGCAAAAATCTCTCCAAAAAAAAAACAATTATTGGGGCTGGTAGGTGGTGAAATGGTTAAGGGTGCTGGACTCCCACGTGGCCCACCGCGGTTCGAGTCCCAGACCTGGAGGCTTGTTTTCTCACTCTTTCTTTCTCTCTCTCATTCCTCTCTGGTCAAATTAAAATAAGTAAATAAAGTTAAATAAAATAATTCTTTAATAAAATAAAATAAAATAGGGCCTGGTAGGTGGCATGGTGGTTAAGTGCCAGACTCCCACATGGTTGGCTGCTGTTCGAGTCCCAGATCTGGCAGCTTGCTTTCTCCCTTTCTCCCTCTCTCTCTCACTCTGTCCCTTTCTGGTCAAATTAAAACAAGTAAGTTAGAGGGACCAGCAGTTAGCGTAATGGCTATGTCACTGGACTCCCATGTAGTCAATCACAGTTCGCATCCCGGACCCAGTGGCTTAAAACTCACACCAGGTGTGTGTGTGTGTGTGCCCAAGATCCCGAGAGGAGAAGGGATTGCGGCGTGGCCATCCCCCCTAGGGGATGATTTCTCGCTTTCTGTCTCTCTGTCTCTCTCTGTCTGCCCCCTATACAAAAAACCTCCTCCCCCCCCCCCAAAAAAATGCAAGTAAGTTAAATAAAAGAATTCTTAGACCAGCGGGTGGCATGGTGGTTAAGGCACTAGGCACTCTCACATGGCTGACCACAGTTTGAGTCCCAGACCTTGCTTTCTCACTTTCCTTCTCTCTGTGTGTCTGTCTTTCTGTGGTCAAATGAAAATCATTGAATGAATAAATAAAATTAAATAAATAATTCTTTAAAAAATGAATTCTTTAAAAAAATAAAATAATTACTTTTAAAAATTATTCAATTAAACTTACCTCTGCTGTTCAGGAGAAATGAGAAGTCTTCAACATAATAATAGGTGCTGAGTTATTTTTGCAGAGCGACGTTAAGTGACCCCCTTCTGTGTTTGCAGTCGGCTAGGAGGATAGACACAGGAGATGTATAGAAAGCCATATCTTTGCTCACTGCTGAGTTTTGGTTTTTAAGAATTATTTTATTTAACTATATTTATTTGTTTGTTGTTTTAATTTGATCAGAGAGGGACAGAGAGAGAGAGAAAGTGTGAAAGCAAGCCACCGGGTCCAGGGCTCAAACTGTGGTCGGCCATGTGGGAGTCCGGTGCCCTCAACCACCACACCACCTGCAGGCCCCACTGCTGAGTTTTTTAAAAGCCAGATTAAAGACATGCTTAAGGGGCTCTCACAGTGGGCTTTCTAATGCTGCGCTCAGAGTCAGGGCTAACCCCCAGTCCCGGTGGTGCCCAAGCACCCAAGGCCTCACACACGGGTTCCCCACTCGACTGCATCAGGGCTTCTTTGTTTTTGTCATAATACTCATAGAGATGCCTTCTTCTCCCAGCTGGATGCCCTGGAATATCTCCATGAGAACGAGTACGTTCATGGAAATTTGACAGCTGAAAATATCTTTGTGAATCCAGAGGACCGGAGCCAGGTAAGAGCCAGGTCTTCCCTACTCTGGGCGGTGTCTGCACTCAGGTTTCTGTCTGTCCACAAACCTCCATTTATTTCATAGTGCTTATGTCAGACAAAGGACTGCTATACGTCATACATAAAGAGCTTCCTCTGATAAATAAGCAATTTACTGGAAAAATAGGCAAAGAAGGGCCAGCAGGGGGCATGGTGGTGAAGGCACTGGACTTCCACATGGCTGACCACAGTTTGAGTCTCAGACCTGGCAGCTTGCTTTCTCACTTTCTCTCTCTCTGTCTCTGAGACTCTGTCCCTCTCTAGTCAAATTTAAGTAAATAAGGTAAAATAAAATAATTCTTAAAAAAAATAAAGAAAAAGGTTGGTTACCAATATAAAGTTGCCAACTTAAAAAAAAAATTATTATTTTTTTTTAGAGGTTTTTGCTATAGAGCGTGTGCGCTCGCCAGACAGACAGAGAGAGACATAGAGACATAGCCATTACGCTAACTGCTGGTTCCCAAAAATTATTCTTTAAAATAATTTTTTTAAGAATTATTTTATTTAACTTTTTTTAATTATTTTTATTTGACCAGAGACAGAGAGAGAGAGAGAGAAAGTGAGAAAGTAAGCCACCAGGTCCAAGACTTGGGTCATGGTCGATCATGTGGGAGTCCAGCACCCTCAACCACCACACCACCTGCCAGTCCCACAATTTTATTAATTTATTTTATTTTATTTTATTATTATGAGTCCCAGACATAGTGACTTAAAACTCATGCCGGGCGCATGTGTGTGCATGCCCAAAATCCTGAGAGGAACATGAAGGAGAAGGGATTGTGGAGTGGCCATCCCCCTGGGGGTGATTTGTCTCTTTTTGTCGCTCTCTGTCACTCCGATGAGTGCATGCACCCTGTAGCAAAAATCTCTCTTAAAAAAGGAAAAAAAGAAAAAGATGTGGTTAGGGCCAGCAGGAGGTGTGGTGGTTAAGATGCTGGGTCCCATCTGACTGACTGCATGGTTTGAATCCTGGATCCAGCAGCTTAAAAACAACGCCAGGTGTGTGTGTGCGTACACAAAATCCAGAGAGGATGGGGGGGCAGGGACTGTAGTGTGGCCATCCCCTCTGGGATTTCTTACTTTTCCTCTCTCTCTTTTTCTGTCTCTCTCCCTTCATCTCCAGCGAGTGCTCACTGCCTATAACAAAATAAATAAATAAACTTTAAAAAAAAAAGTGATTAAATTTGTTGAACTGGCAGATAAGCATTTTCTTTTTGTTTTAAACTCAGTTGTGCTGAGTTTAAAGAGGGGGACAACTATTGTCATCATTTTACAAATGGAGAAATCAAAGCACAGAAAGGTTTATGTTTTGTTTTGTTTTGTTTTGAGAGGTTTTTGCCATAGGGCGCGTGCGCTCCCCAGACAGACAGAGACAGAGAGATAGAAAGTGAAAAATCATCCCCCGGGGGGATGGTCACACCGCAATCCCTTCTCCTCCATTCTACTCTTGGTATCTTGGGCACGCACCCACACGCGCCCGGCGTGAGTTTTAAGCCACTGGGTCCAGGACTCGAACCGCAGTCGACTACATGGGAGTCCAGCGACATAGTCATTATACTAACTGCTGGTCCCCAGAAAGGTTTTTTCACTTGCTAAAGGGCTGACCTGGCATTTGATCCCGGGCCATGTGGCTCCAGAGTTAATGCCCCAAACCACTGCCAAAGTGCAAAAACACAGATGCCTCACAGGAGGTACAGTGTGATGTGTTGAAAATATGAGCCCCTTTCCCATCCACATGTGTTTACCTAGTTACTGTTGTTTAAAAAAATAAATTGGGGGCTAGCCAGTGGCATGATTAAGGTACTGGATCTCATATAGCTGAAGGCATGGTTCATTTCCCAGACCTGGTGGCTTGAAAAACACACCAGGCACGTGTGCACGCATGTACAAAATTCCAAGAGGAACATGGAAGAGAAGGGATCATGGCGTGGCCACCCTCCATTGGAGGTGATCTCTCAATCCCCACACCCCTGTCTCTCCCCCGTGAGTACATGTGCCCTATAGCAAAATTTTAAAAAAAGAAAGAAAGAAAGGAAAAGAAAAAAGAATTTGGAATGATGGTAAAGAAAGAGTTCCTAAATAGAGAGAGATGACATTAGTAGGACACAGATATGGTTTATTACCTGTTGATGGTGACGTATAATATTCTCAACTGGATGGGTCTAGGAAGTATTTCATGTTGGGTAAAGTCTTACAAACAAAATGAGAAATAGTGATTGACTGTTTAAAAAAATAATTGGAATAATAATAATAATGATGATGATGATCGGGAAAAATAATGAAAAGCTTTTGGAGGGGTACCAGCAGGTGACGTGGTGGTTAAGGCGCTGGACACTCCCACATGGCTGACCACAGTTCAAGTCCTGGACCAGGTGGCTTACTTTCTCACTTTCCTCTCTCTCTGTATCTCTCTCTGATTAAATTAAAATGAATGAATGAATGAATAGAAAAGCTATTGGAGCCAGCAGGTGGTGTGGTGGATAAGAGCGCTGGATTCCCACATGGCCAACGATGGTTCAAGTCCTGGACCTGATGGCTTGCTTTCTCACTTTCCCTTTTCTCTCTCTCTCTCTCGTCAAATAAAGAA